TATAAGAAAATGTTACTCTATTAAATATAACTCATGACTATAAATATAATGCTTCAATGAACAATAATTCAAATATATATAACTACAAAATACATAAAAAAAATCGTATTATTGTTAACCAAATAAATAGTTACCTCCAAAACCATAACAAATACAAATAAAGTATAATCCAAGTAATTTCAAGTTCAAACTACTTAGGGTGGTTAAACAAATTTGGATAGTAGAAAATGGAATTAGAAATATAGAAGAAATAACAAAAAAACTCGCGAGACACCAATAACATTCTTGACTCCAAGATATGCTTCCAACTCACCATCAATTTGTTCTTTGATTAAATAAGCATTCTTTTAAAGAAAAACCCCACAATTTAGTCACAAACGAACATATGAAAAGTAGTTAATATTAGTTATAAGAAAAAATATATCAATTAGAAAGAAAGCCCTAAAGCTATTAGGCCAATTGGCCGCTATCCAAATAATTAAAAAGAAAGAAAAAACACATCCAACTCCACTTAGCATCTAGTTGATCGTTCAAAAGAAACATTGTACCCCAATTACTGAATTGAGACCATATAAAGCAGGGAGGGTGTATTACATTTCTGCACATGAAAAGCAACCCAACATATTTAGTATTTGCATGATATTCCTACAATGATAATTATAATTTGCAATATTAACAAGACACATTACTCAACCACTAGCACCACCAACACCATCACAACATCGCACCACATGTACCTCCTCCTGCATTTCTACACGTAGATCTGTACACTATAACCCACCACCACACAAGCACACATAATATTTATCGCAACACCACCACACAATCGCCAGCACACCACAATATCCACCGCATCACCACCACCACACGCAACTCTGTACACCCTAATCATCGACTGGAAATATAAGTTCAGATCCAATATGCGCAGTTCTAGCCGCAGGTGATCGGAATTTGTGGCAGCTACAAATTTGTTGTAGAGAAAATGGGTATGTGTGTGTAGAGGTGTCAAGACGGATGGGCCGGCCAGACCCGTGAAAATCTGCCCGGATCGACCCGGGACCGCGAGCTGACCCGTGACCCAAGCGGGCGGTTCACAGGTCAAAGAGGTGTGACCCGCACGCTTCGCGGGTTGCACCTTCACGGGCCGCGGTTAACCCGCTGGCCCGTGAAAATTTTTTAAAAAAATTTTGAAAAAAAGGGGGGGAGAGAGTAATATAAAATTATTGATGATATTGTTGAAGACTTCAAAAATCTTGCAGTTCCTGAAAATTGATTGGAAAACAAATATTAAAATATATAATTTTAAAACAACTAAGTTATAGTTAAGACTTAAGTAGGTATCAATCTAGTTGGGATGTACTTAAACTATAAATTATAATAAAAGTAGGTGCCAACCTAGTTGGGATGTACTTATACTATAAATATTTGATAATAGTAATTAGAAATACATTTAGTTGTTATTTGTTTAAATTAAATTTAACTTTACAAAGTTATAAATAATTCATGTAACATTAAATTTGAATTCTATATAAACATTTCTTGGTGTAAATATGAATTTATCATTTTGTTCAATTCTTAGTTTACATTTAACAAAAAAAATATTTTTTGCTATAAATATGAAAAATTCTATATTTTTATAATTTTATTTATACAATAATAGGGCCAAATCAGAACAAACCGCGACCCGCGCGACCTGTGACCCGCATGGGCTCGACCTGGATGGGTCAGCGGGCGGATCTGGATTGTAGTCCATAATTTGCGGGTCGACCCGAAACCCGTAGTGGGCGGGTTTTTTTTCATGTGGCCCGTTACTGGGCTCATATGTTGGCGGGCCGATTTGGCCCGGACCACTCGGATTGACACATCTATGTGTGTGTGGGTGTGTAAGTAGAAAGAGTGCCAATTGGTGGAGGCGTTAATATTTGCTAAAGTGACATGGTGACAACCAAATTTCCTATAGATTGAATAGAGAGAGATTAGAGAAAGAAAGTGATTAGAGATAGAAGTCACATAATTTTTTTAAAATAATAATTATTACCTAATTATTGAAAAAATGACAGTTTTTCTAAGTTTTGCGGGTTTAGGGTAATTTTTCGTTTTCTTATATTTTATATTGTGAAATTACACCTATCCATGTTTTTTAAATTCTCAATTCAAAAATCAAATTTCAAAGTTTTTATTCAAAAATCAGATTATTTAAACTTCTTAATATTATAAAACCAAATTAATTTAATTCAACACCCATACCCCCACTCCCAACCCCACAAAACCCTAATTATCTTTTTGCTATTTCATTTTTCGCCCACACTCGTCCTCGCCCCATCCCCAGAATCGGTGACTGTCGCAAGCAATGATAAGCGCATCACCTGCGATGGGCGCACACTACGACAGGCGCATTAGCGATGTGATCTCTCTCCCTCTCTCTCTCTCTCTCTTGTTTTGTCTCTTGCATTTGTTTCTCTATTGGTGCGATCTATTTAGGCATTGTCGTCACGTTGTTATTCGTGCATTCACAGGCGTTGTTGTACGCAAGCGGCGCTGTTGGTGGTATTGGTGGTGCACATGCAATTGGTGGTTCGCAACAGCGTTGACAACGTTAGTGCTTGCAGCAGTGTAAGAGTGCGGTTTGGTGGTGGTGTTGATGTTGTTGCAGTGGCAGTGACAGTGACAGTGACAGTAGCAGTGGCAGTGTTTTAAAAAGCTAGCCTAGCTGCATCTTAGCCACTAGGCTCGAAGCTCAGAAGATCCTCCTCAACTTGAAGCTCGGGCAAAACGCCTCGCTTCGCGCCTCACACTTTTTTTCCAATTCCTAAATAGCTAAAATTCTTCTTCTTCTCTTTCGTCTTCCCTGAGCGCATTTTATTATTTTTTCTATTTTTTTAAAGTCTTTTTTTACTTTAACTTATTAAATTTTTTTAATTTTAGAAAAACTCTTCATTTGGCTTTAATATCAAGTTTTTAAAAGATTTTATCTATACAAAAGTTAAAAATGATTTTATCTAAATAATTAAGTAAGATTTAAGCTATGGTGTTATTTACATTATGTAATTTTGATCTTGACACTCGTTATTTTCTTGCAAATCTCAAAAATATGTATAAAATTCCTATAAATCTATTAAGTAAGATTTGTCTAGTTGAAAATCAAAACTATGAAAAATATTCTAATTTTTGCATTTTGAAAGCTTGAAAATTATATAAATGACTAATAGTGGAAATTATTAAGTAAATATAGTATTTTATAATTTTAGATGTTTGATATGTATTATTTTAATTATTAAATGATTTTTAAAATGATTAAAAAATTAAAATAATAATAAAATAAGAAAACATTTTTTTTTTACACCTAAGCCTCGTATAGGCTTATTTAAGCTCATAAAGCTTGAAACTTCACTCATGCCTAACTACGCCTACGATTTTTAGAACACTGGGTAGTGGTGGTGGTAGTGTCTGTGGTGGTGGAGGTGGCAGCGATGGTGGCGATGGAGTGCGACGAAGAGTTTGTGATCAATTATTTAGGTGTTGTGACCAGTAAATTGGTTAATTTGTAACCAATAAATAATATGTGACCTAAAAGAATATGTAGTTGTCACTCAAAATTTGGTAAGTTGTGATTAATTAATTCTATAATTTGTAACTGAGAATAATTTTGATCAATTAATTTGATAGTTTGTGACTTATAAAATTTATTATTTGTGACCAATAAATAAATTATGATCTATAAAAATTTTGATCTGTGACCAATAAATATTTTATTTGTGATTAAAAAATATTTTGTGACCAATAAATAATTTGTGATTAATTAATTTGATAATTTGTGACCAAATTATATAGTATTATGATCTTAATATGTTTAATAGTTAATAAAAAATTATTTACTTAATTAATAAAATTTAATTATTTTTTAAGTTTTAAAACTTATTTCTTAATTTTGGAATTGTGTATTGTAATACCTTAAGGATATGTTTGATTGCCAATATTTTTCATGAAAAACGTATTTTTTCCAGGGAAAATTTTTTCCTACTTTTGGTCACGTGATTATATTTTCCTTAAAAATAAGGAAAAATTATTTTATTTTGGAAGGGGTAAGTTTTATTTTTCAGGCAATTCACCATCTTTCTCTCTCTCTCATCTATCAACTCCCTCTCATCTACCTACCAAAAAAAAATTGACAAGTATAATATTTTCTAGGTTGATTAATTAATAATTTTCATACAAATAAGTTATAGTCAATTGCCTCAAATTTATTTTCTTTCCATACAAATTCTATGTTACAATCAAACGCTTCCCAAGTGCATGTTTGACAATCATTTTGGTAAAAAAAAAAGTGTTTTTTTATGAGAATATGTGGCTAAAAAATATTTTAAAAGTTTTTTGTATACATATAAAATATTTTATTGTGTGAATATGCGGTTGAAAATGATATTGTAACAAATCATAAAATAAATTAAAGAGTGTCAAAACAGGCTCTAAATATGAATTTTTCCCTTTTAATTTTGGCCTCATTCTTTTATACTTCAAAAATGAATTGTAAATAGTAAATTGTTGGATAATTTTCTTTTTATATTACTTTACACTTTCTATTTTCATATACAAAATTGTCTATTATTCTAATTACGAATAAATGCATATAAATTATGGATTAAATGAGAGGTTAATTAAAAAAAAAAAAAAATTGGAACCGAATCAAAGTTCAATTCAGTGGCTTGAACCAGCGGTTCTTGATTTTAAGACCCAGTGTAAGACCGATACTAGTGTTTTATATAGATAGCGTTTTATATACTTTATTAGACAATATTAGTGTTGTTCAAAAATATATTTACCAAACTATCTTTAGACCTTTGGTTCAGGCAAAGATTGATTTGCCAAGAATCAGATGACCTAAAGGATAACAAAAAATACTGCGCAGAAAATTAACCGGATGCATATAATGCATGATCACCCATTAATATATCATATAAATTAGCATCTTCTTAAATCAATATGCACAATCCCAACTTCCCATGGAGAAAAAATCTTTGCATTTCTCCTTCAAATTCACAGCCATTGCTCTTCTGTTCTTGAATTGCACAAAATTCGGAAAAGCCACGAGAGGGCCGTCCCCATCATTGGGAAAGGGAACATGGCAACTTCTGTTGAACAATACTGGGGTAGTGGCAATGCATATGGCCTTAACTCACTACAACACTGTGATAATGTTCGACCAGATAGAATCCGGGCAATCCGGTTTCAGATTTAGCCACCGTCACAATGGGACGAGATGTAGGAATACGCGTGAGGATTTAGAAGACTCTTCATGCTATGCTCATTCGGTTGAGTATGATGTTTTGAGGAACAAAATTAGGCCTCTACATATTGAGACTGATACTTGGTGTTCTTCGGGTTCTTTCTTGAGCAATGGGACGTTGATTCAAACCGGTGGTTATGGACATGGTGCTCGAAGAATAAGGTATTGTTGAAACTTGAAACACAATATCGTTTAAAAGTTCAAATGGTTAGAGAGCGAACAAACTTCTTTATCGATTTTATGTCGACAACAGGTATCTTGAGCCTTGTGCACATGGCCATAATTGTGATTGGAAGCAAACAAAGAGACTTTTGTCTGATGATAGATGGTATGCTTCGAATCAAATACTCCCTGAGCACGACCAGATCATTGTAGTGGGAGGTAGACGGGTATTTTCATATGAATTTGTACCAAGATTATCATCCAACAGGTTTAAATCTTATGACCTTCCATTCTTGCACAATACCTATGACAAGAATGAGGGAGGAAATAATTTCTACCCTATAATCCACCTTTCTTCCGACGGTCATCTCTTCATTTTTGCCAACCGGAATTCAATCCTTTTCAACTATAAAATAAACAAAGTTGCGAAAACCTTTCCAAGAATTCCTGGAAATGGATCCAGGAGCTATCCAAGTACAGGTTCATCAGTCATTCTCCCTTTAAGCCATACTGATCGCTTCGAAAGGGTTGAAGTCATGATATGCGGAGGGGCGTCTTCTGACGCATATTCAGCAGCCCAACACGGCAGATTCTTACCAGGATTGACATCTTGCGGGAGAATGGAAATCACAGGTATTGAGTCTTTAGTTTCCATCTTAAAATGTGAGCGTTGTGAATAGGAGTAGTCCAATTCTTTATAATTAAGCATTGTGGGATTTTGCCGAACTGTCCTTTGTTTGTGCTTACCTAAATGGAGCACATGCCGGGGCCTCGTCTAATGAGCGATATGCTAATTCTCCCAACAGGCAATGTACTAATAATCAACGGGGTGAAAAATGGTTCTGCGGGATGGAATTTCGCAGCCAAACCTTCCCTCCAACCCTATCTCTACAAACCAAGAAAACCATTCGGGAGGAGATTTTCAGTCTTAAGATCAACAAAAATTGCCAGAATGTATCATTCGTCGGCCGTTCTTTTACCTGATGGAAGAATTCTTGTTGGTGGAAGTAATCCTAATAACAGATACACATTCAGGAATGTACCTCATCCGACCGAACTCCGGTTACAGGTAATAGAGATAAATATGACTAGTTTTCGGCATATGCTGTGATTAAAGCAACTTTAAAGCAGTTCTCTTGGCAGCATGTAAAAACGTGCTATCAAGGAAGTCAGCTAAATGAGCGTCTCTGCATGCTGCCAAGAAAACAGCCAAAAAAAGCACATTCTAAGAACATCCAAACATCTTCAATACATGTTCATGACCTACTTATAATTGGTTAAAGTATCTTATAAGCAAAAGACGCCCAAACATGTCAACTTAACAAAAATGGGACTTAATTTTTAAGATCAAAGGAGGATAAATACCTCCCATACTATTATTTTCTTATTTTTTAAGTTGATCAACACATTTACCATATTAACCTTAACTTTCTGGAAATTTACTAACCTATATTCAGGCCCAGCCCTGGCCCAAGGCAAACTAGGTCATTGTCTTGGGCCTCAAGATTTGAAGGGCCTCAAAAAAATAAATTTCAATAGCCTAATAAAAAATTTCCTTTATATTTCTTTGAATTAGGTCATTTAGTCCTTTAAAAAGTAACAACAAAACAATAAAATGGGACTAAATAAGAGGCTCAAAATACTTGGACACTTAACTTACATTCTTGATTTAAGGAATAAAATGGACATACAATTAAATTATTACTTAGTGCCTTATCTTTCTTTTTTTTCCTACCAAAATCTAGAAAAAAGTCAATGCAAAAAATAAAAAATAAATAAAAATAAATATATTCCCTCTAATTTTTTTGCTAAGCTGATAAAGTTTCTTTAAAATTTATAAATTAACTTTTATGAAAGTTAAAAATAAGCTATTTATTTTAAAAGTGTTTATTTCATTTATATTTAAGAATAGCTTAACAATTCTTCGCATAATGCCTCATAATTAGGAGGACTGGCCTTGCCTATAATGAAAACTGTACAAAAAAAACTTGGTCTATAAAGTCATTTAGGTAATTTGTCATGCTGATTGTGCTTACAAACAAGTGAGTTCCCAAACATCTTGTTTAAATCGAAAGGATTATGTTACTTTTTTTACTTGTTTCATAGTATCTTCTTTTTTTTTTTTAATTAAACTAGTTGTACACATTTTTTTGTACATCGAGCTTGACATCCCTTGATATGTCAAAATCATGGCCCTTGATTTGAATAATTTAAATAAAGGGTCATAATTTTAACACATCAAGGATGTCAAATTTGAAGTACAAACAGAATGTACAGGTAACAGCTTTGTTTTTGCCGAGTTCATATGTTTTTATCACGTTTGTACGTACTCAAAAGGGACTTTTGCAGCTTTTCTTGGTAGCATGTAGAGGTGCTATCAAGAAAATCATCTAAAAGAGCATCTCTACACGTTACAAAGAAAAGCAACTGCAAATGTCCCTTGTTAGCACAACCAAACATCTTTTATGCGTGTTTTCATCGTCTCTATTTCTCCTATGAAAGGCATTCGTCCCTGACCATATGGACAAGAAATTCGACAAGAGCCGACCTCATAATGTTTCTATATACAGCAATGGAAACGAGGGGGTGGGATATGGAAAGGAATTTTCAGTTCATTTTCTTCTGAGGAATACAAGGCCAAGAAATGTAGTGTTTACTGCATATGCACCTCCATTTACTACACATTCAATTTCAATGAACCAAAGGATGCTTACACTTAGGTGCAGAAACTTGGTTAGGGCTGCAAATGGGTTGATAAATGCACAATTGGAAGCTCCTCCTAATCCAAATGTGGCACCTTCTGGTTATTATATGCTTACAGTTGTTAATGATGGAATCCCTAGTGTTTCTCAGTGGGTTAGGTTCATACATGCTTGAGTTTTTTACTTTTTTACTCTTGTATCTCGACAAATTATACTCGAAACAACCACACTATTTAATAATATTTAAAGCGAGATATTTAATGTAATAGTATTTGACGGTCATGCTAGTTTATTCGGTTAATCCCCTTGATGTCGACTTTCCTTGAAAATATTGTGGTGAAGCAATACATCTAGAAGTTCAAATTTTTTAACGAAAAACTTGTTTTCATTTTTATGTCATGTTTCCTTAATTTTAAAACTCATTTTCCGGATAAAACCCTAACGTAATTCTCATAACTAATTAGCATTGAGACTTCAATTCAATACTTTGTATGGGCACTTCGTCTAGAAAGTTATTTGATATTGGAGGTCACGTCCTATCTCCCTTCTAAGTATGAACCTTTTTAAAATTTTGTCAATAATAAAACTTGCTACATATAGTGGTTTTAAAAAATAATATTGGAGAAACTTAAATGTTTATTATGATTTACCTAAATGATTGTGCTTATTATTAAACTTAAATGTTTAATTACTTATTGTTGGAATTTTGTATTGGAAATTGGTTGTGACCAATTGAAATGATTTAAGTGGAAATTCCTTGTTTGGTGAATGAGAAATTAAGCCAAACTTAAACCACTTAATACTTGAAATTATTGGAATTGTGTAGAATATTGTGGAATATTCTAGAGAATGTAGATGAAAAGATGTGTCTTTTCATATGGATCATG